ATGTCTTGGACATAGGTATTAGCGTACTTATCTCAAAATTTTGCAACTTGAGAATCGCTGCATCCAATCTCTCGTGTCCTTGGTAGCAAAGCTCTGTGACACATTGCTGTACTTCCTACATAATAAAACAGATACACAGAGTGCTCCTGAGCAGCCATGTGGCTCACATGGCCTGCAACATTGTAATAATGATTATGATTCGCTTTTTCTCCAAATCTATCCTCTACCCGAACTCCTGTGGACTGTCTCATATTACGTCCAGATCACATTGGCAAAACAGAGGCTTCATCTTGGGCTGCCTTAAAAAAAATAAGTTAATAAAATTCAACCTTCCTCTAGAGTTTTTTGATCACTTTGTCAAAAGTCATTTCAACTTTCAAGAATTCTTGTTAGAAGCAGGGGACCAAAGACAATATTAAATAAGTTGGCCTATCTGACTTAAATCTTAGTGAAAAATTAACCATGCCTTCCCCATGCAAAGACTGGCACTCTTTAACAGATGGTGGTTGCTGATTTTCCCTTTCTACAAACTGCGTGCCAGTTTGCTTGAGAGGTAAGAGGTAAAGTAGGAACAGGTTGGCACAAAACAATTATCCTGCCAGACAAAATGAGACCTCTGACCTATAGACAACTCCACCCCTTTGTCTAGACAGAAGAATCAGAATAACTGAAGGGCAAGTTTTCCAAGTGGACAAAATGCTTATTTATGTCTGGATGAATAGCTGGAACTTGCTCTTGTTAAATATTGGGTCGTAATAGGAAGGTAAATTGGTTCTCATTTGGCTGATTAGACTCAGAAAGAAAGAAAAGTTTACTCTAGTAGTGACAGCTCTGAGACCATAACCTCTGAGACTTAGCTTAGAGCCAGCTCTGTGGGCATGGGACCAATACAGTCACACTGTTCAGAAGGCCAGTGCTTAGGCTCCCTTGCTGTGCACTTGCTGTCTTAAAATTCTTAAAAATTTTATCCTTGAATTTGTGTTTGGTAAATGAAGTCTGATGGGACAGTGGAGCCTTGGAGCCTCAGTTCTCAGGCGGTCCTTGGTCCTACCTTCTTGCTGCCTCTTTAGGATGGGGAAGGTCAGGGGTGAGTATATACCTTGTAGCATTTCAGGGTGATGATAGGGAACAACCTTCTCTGTCTTGGGCTCGCAAAACCATGCTGTGTTTCATGGACGACTTGGCAGAAGTTCACCTGACTAGAATACCAACTGTGTCCCAGTGTGGAGGTGGCAATCCCATGGCAGGGGTCACCCATCCACTGAGAGTTGGGGCTGCCAGACACTGGAAGGAAGGACTGATTTCTCTGTCCCTGCCAGGACACTACATTTTCATTTTGTACTGGGTTCCATAAAGTATATAGTTGACTTTGCTTAACCCAACCACCAACAGACAGCTCTGAGTTCCACAGAGCCAGGTGGGGCCTCAGGAGGGCTGTCAAGTCCAGTGTCCACATATGTCCCCTCTGTGAAGCACAGAGTGGAAGATCTATCTGTTTCTTAGAGTTTTTCCCTTCCACTGTGAAATATTATAATAGACATATAGCATATATTTGCTCTGTGATATGAGAGAAATCACTTAATTATTCTGGGCCTCAGTAGCTTACTCTGTCATGTAGGAATACTACTGTCATAAACATGAAACAAGGTAACATAGGTAAGTACTTGGCACAGTGCCAGGGATGTAGTAGCTGTTCTGTACATTTTAGTTTCTATTATTGTGATTATCATTATTTGCTATAGATTCTGAAAGCAATTGAGCAAGTATTTTAATACTATGAAATAAACTCACTTGGAGTTCCAGTCTCCAGAGTTGTTAGGGTCTGTCAAATGTACTACAAAAAAAAAAAGCTCAAAAAAGAAAGTCGTATAATGAGAAGGGATCTTGGTTTTGTCTACGGTAACAGCATACCCATGGCAGCTGTTCAATGGTTGATAGGTAACAGTGTCTCACTTACTGTTTTGCTGGAGTGAGTAGATATAGGAGGTTGACTGAAAGTGGAAGTCGAGGTGTGTAATATGGTGATCCACAGACCACAGATCTTTGTCAAGTGATGGCCTGGTGCCCTGGTCCCACCCTCCTCTCAGTGACTGTCACCAATGCCATTCACTAGAACAGAGCTGATAGCTGACTTAAGCAGCCTAGCACCACTATGGAAATATTCTAACACATCTTTGGACTCCCAGGAAGTAAAGGAAGCTGTTTCACTACTCTTTGTTATTTTTATAAGTAGTTATCATTTTCATATACATCTTGAACACTAACTATATACCAGCTATTTTTAATTTTCTCTCTAATCTTCATAAACATCAAATCAGGCAACTATGCCTGCTTTACAGATAAGAAAACTTGAGGCTCAGCTAAGTTAAATGGTTTTATCAAGACTTTCTGGTTTAACAGTGAGAGAGTGAAGGCTGAGATCCAGTTCTGTCTGACTTCAAGATCATGCATCTTAATCAATCACAAAGCCTCTCTTTCAGGTAGAGTAAGTTAACCCTTTATAAGAATAATACTGACAGCAAATACGTACGTGTTCAGCTTTAATACCAGACAGTATTCTAAGTACTTAACATGTATTGACTCGTTTAATCCTGGAGACAGCCATATGAAAGAGGAATTACTATCCTCATTTTACAAGTGAGGAAACTGAGGCAGTAGGAAGCTAAGGAAACTGAGTCCCATAGCCTGTTAGTGACAGTCAGGCTGTAAATAAAACGTAGTGTGGCTCCAGATGCTGTGGTCAACCAGCAGGCTAAGGGGTGAGAACTTCTGAAATAATTGAAAATATTAACTGAAAAAGTATAATTTGGCTTTCTAAAATAATATACAACACATGTGCATCCAAATGAGTGTCTTTCAAAATATCTTGTCAAAATGTTTTTGCAATTTCTTTTAGAGACTGAAGCAATTAATAGCGATGATAGTACTAATAATACAAATAGCAGCTAGATTAATTTTACATTTATTATATGCCCAGCATTGTGCCAAATGTTTTACATAAGTCATCTCATTTAATGCTTATACAGTAATGCCAACCATTTATACAACAGAATAAAATTATTGAGGCTCAGAAAATTTATTTTCTCCATGTCATAGCTTTATATAATGGTTCTGGGTTAATTTTGTCTTGTCTAAATCCACAATCTACATTCATCACTTCTAAACTCTAATACTTAACTACAACACTCCATTTTTAAAAGATATTTTTTAATAGTGGAAAACTTCATCTTCATAGAATAGGCTGGACTTGTAAAAACCAGTAGAAATTACTGTGACTAAGCTCTGGGTTTTATGAACTTCAGTTACTTCTGATTCATTTTCCATTAAAACTATCATTTGATGAAAACACAGACTGCTTTTCTCTTGTGATCTATAAACTGTCTGAAATTAGTCCCCAAAAGACAGATGAGTGCACATTTAGACAATGGCAGCATCATGGTCATCAAATATCTCCTAAGGTGACAACTTTGAGGGATGCTCTTACTTACAGGCATATTCATGCTCCATATCTGACACTAACCCTTAGCAGTGGAAATGATGACCAGAGGCATATCATACGTTTACTGGGCTAATGACATGAGGCTTGCAGGCACTATTCAAGCATCCTGTGAAGGCACCGGGTGTACCACTCTACAATGACTATTGCCCAGAAAGCCACATCCTCACTGACAGCATTTTTCTAACAGGGAGACCTTGCATGACTTTTAACATGTGGTTTCAGAGAATCTACCTTGTATAAGGGTCAATCCCTTACTGTGAATGGTGACTGTACTGAATTGAGGACACTTAATAATCTTGTGTGGGCAAATGTATCTCTTAAGGGAGTGAGGAAGTTGACAGATTTCTATTTCCTTTAGCTCTGTATAGGCCAAGACTACTTAACTCATTCATTGTTTTCCCAAGCCTTGCTGGAGGTTGCAAATAGCATCATTTTCTTTCTAAAATATAGTTCAGAACTGGCTTTAATTTAATATATAACTCAGAATTATATTTCATAGAAAAGAAGTGTGAAAATAGCTCAGCTAGCCATTCTTGGTAAAGAAATTACTGAGTGGTGGGAATGAGGGATGGGGAAAGGGGAAGAGGTGAGAGACAGGGAAGGGAGAAGTGAGAAAAGAGAAGAGGTGGATTCATTTCACAATTTTAGACTGCTGTTTATGTGAGGTGACTCCCTTGTGTTTTGTAGCATGCTTCTTTAAGCAAAATTTTTTCTCTAGACTCAAAAAACTCTTTGAAATGCCTAAGAACAGCCGTCTCCTGCTCTATCCTCAGCTACTTTTCTTAACAGTTAGAAGCAAGCTTGTTGGACAATAGCATCTAGAATTTTCATAACACATGCTAGACAAATTCCGTCAGCTAACTAGGAAGTGGCCCATGATGAAAGGTGAAATTTGAAAGTAAGGACTCTTAGAAGTAACATTTGCTTATTTCTTAAAGGCTCCCCAACTCAAAAAAATGCTTTTTATATGGAATCTTCTATTGAGAATATTACTGAGCACAGCTGCTTGGAGAAAAAGCACTTAATTTGGATAGCAAGATTTAGAACAAGGAAAGAAATAGGTGGAGTTAATCATTTCTATTTTGAATTAAGAGAAATGTTAGGTACCAACAGAACAAAATAGAAGTCTAAAGGCAACACATTCTCACCAAAGGGGGAAAAAAAGGAGTTAGAAAAATATGTCTTAATGGATAAGACCCAAAATAATAAACAATGAATAACTATTGAAAGCTATTTAAAAATAATTAATAATATGAGTTGCTGTGTCTATAATTATCTAAAAGTCACTAATTACTTTAAAAATCCCAGGAGGAAACTTTTCCCCGTTTTATAGAGGAAGAGCTGAGACACACAGGGTCAGGGGACTCAGAGCAGATCACCTCATCACAGTGGCAGAGTTGAGATTAGGCCCGAAGACTAAATTTCAGGCTCTTAACCACCCCTTTGCAGGACTTGAGACTTGACATAGCATTTGGGAGCAAGTGAATGGCTGTCTAATTACCATGGCTTTGTTGGAATGGCCGCCTCCTTGGAACTCAATGGTCCCAAAAGCATCGGTAGGGCTGAGTTGAGTGTGTTTGCTGATGGACCACTTTTCGGACTGGATGTCATTTCGGGAGAGGCGGCTTTCATTTTTCTCATTCTGAAGCACAGAGATACTGGGAGTGAGGCCAACATGCTGGCCTATCAGACGCCCACAGCAACACCTATAACAGAAGAGGTTAAAGTGAAGCCCTGGTATTAGTTACTATTGTAATACACACTTCAGGCAACATGCTGGAGAAATCTATAGTTTGTACCAATATCTGTCAGTCAATTGTCAGGTAGAATTCTACTATGTGGCTACTATATCAGGCATTGGTAAATGTAGGCTTTCCATGTTACACATATCTTTTCTTTTCTCCCCTCTCCCCATTTTCCTTTAGCTGTGTAAGCTGTAGTATGTCTCCTGTCCTTCTCCATCCACCTCTTTTGTATCTGGCGTTTTGTTCAGGATTGGACCTTGCAAACAAAAGTTCTCTCGATTTTTCTACTTCTCACTCAGCCCATCTATCAAATCTATTGAAGCACGAAGGTCTCTGAAGAGCTTTGAGGGGGAGAAGTTTAACATGCACATTTAAATGAGGAATCTCACTTATATGTGAGTCACGACTGAACTTGTAGCTTCCCAATTGACATTTGCTGTCAAATACTCAATTCTGAGAATAAAAATCTGCAGGCTTAAGTGTTCTTGACAAAATAATGAAAAAAAATTCATGATATATTTGAAAACGTAAACTTTGCTCTATCATGAAAATGTTCTTCACACATTACTATTACTACCTTTATGACTATTAGTAGTAATAGTTAAAATATATAACTGCCATTTATTAAAAACTAACAATTTAGCACCCATTGTATAGATGAAATACTGTAGTTTTGAAGGTTAGGTCATTTGTGCAAGGTTACACAGATAGTCTCTAAGACTCTGTAATCTCTCTCTCTCTCTCTCTCTCTCTCTCTCTCTCTCTCTCTCTCTATATATATATATATATATATATATATATATATTTTTTTTTTTTTTTTTTTTTAAAGACAGATTTCTCCCTGTTGCCAGGCGCCAGGCTGGACTGCAGTGGTGTGATCTCAGCTCACTGCAACCTCCACTTCCCAGGTTCAAGCAATTCTCCTGCCTCAGCCTCCCAAGTAACTGGGACCACAGGTGTGCACCACCACGCCCAACTAATCTTTGTATTTTTTAGTAGAGATGGGGTTTCACCATGGTCTCAGTCTTGTGACCTTGTGATCCGCCTGCCTTGGCCTCCCAAAGTGCTGGGATTACAGGCTTGAGCCACCGTGTCCGGCCCTGTAGTCTATATTTTAAACTGATTTGTTTAACTGCCCATTAATAAAGGCATTTCAGACATATACATATATTTGCTACTTTATCCCAAATGCTTCTTATCTTACATATTGTTGATCCTCAGGAAGGTAAGTAGGGTACTAACGATGTGCATAAATAGGAATCTGAAAGTCTGCAGTCTAGTTAGAAAACTGCTAGGATATTTTTTTATTTAAAAGTTTCCTTTTTTCCTATTGCAGAACACGTTGGTACAAACTAAGCATTTGGAGGAAGTACTTAAAGGGAAAAACCAATAACCACAACAAAAAACCATAACCCACTGTTATATAAGGTGATTAATTCCTTCCGCAATGGTATATATGTTTTTCGTTATAGGCGCTTAGATTAAGAATTAATTGTAGGCATGACATATTATATAGAATGTATAAATAAGATTGCTTCAAAGATGTCCAGAAACAATAAAAGAAGGTATTTGATTTGACAATGTTTCCCTTGCAACGGGTTATGACTACTCTCGTGGGTTTTTTGTATAATTACTGCTTCATGTTCTCAACACATTACAGATAGCAAAATTACCTATGGGGGTCTTTGGTGCTGGGTATGATGTGGACACATTCTCTTTTATAAAATGCTCTTTCTATCCAGGATTTCTGAGCCTGAAAAAGAAAACAAAAAACAAGGAAAGGTGAGCATACCAGGAAATATTTTTAACTAGAAAGCAAAATTTCATAATCATATAGTAGACTAGTATATCACAAATTGAAATTGTGGTTATTTCACACATAAACACTGCATACGACAAAATCAGTCACTCCCTGTACCTGCTGATTAGGTTATTTAACATCACGATATTGAGAATTAAAGAAACTGACCATAATAAAAAAGTTATTGATGGAATCATATACAAATTCAAAAAAGAAAGACAATGCTATTTGCAAAGAAAATAAATTTGAAGGAATAGAATAGTATGTTTGAAACCTTATAGAAAACAAGTATTCAGTAGTGGGAAGAAATACATCTAAATAAGTATAAGGTTTTCATGGCTGACCCTTCCATTAGATTTTCTTTGTAAAAGGAAAGAAAAATGGCAAGAGAATTATATAACTCAAAAGGCCTAATGTATCACCATGCTTTTTTCTAATTAGCAGTGCTAAGTACAGAGGGAGAAAAGAAGAAAATAAAAGCACGAGGAAGAAAAATGTTTTCATCATAGTCCTAAATTTTTTTTTATCATAGTTCAATGGCTTTGGAAAGAAGATAACACATTTTTTTTGCACCCCACAAGCCCTTCAGTACAGCATCCACAGCTTCTTAGAATGGGCACTGTTGGGTCTGTCCACCCAGAAGTCCTGCCACTGAGATTGAGTTCCCACATGGACAAAGGACATTCCGGAAAACTGTACAATCTCTGTTCCAAAGCCGTTGTCCATCCTGCATCCCTTTATGGTTTTCTTTACCAGCATTTGAAATAGTAGAGGAGTCTCCCATGAAATTCAATAAGCTGCTCAGAAGATTCCTTCTCTAAGCGTTTAAGATGGAAGTTGCTAGAGCAACCTGTAATGTTATTTCTACACGGCGTCATCTTCTCTCTAAGGCAGCATCAGTACTAAATTAATACTCTTATATACAGGGCTAAAGCACAACTGAGCTGTTGACTTGACCCGTCTTGATGACTGGTGATAACTGTTAGCCCCCATGTGTTGGCCATAATTAATCTTGACTCTGCTAATGACTCAAACGTCTATAAGCTGTGCTAAATTCTGGTTGGTCCTCAGTACTTCAGTCTTGCACCTCCCTCCTCTCTCACAAGGGAGGTCTAGGCAAGCATGTGGCACCGAAGGCAGTAATTGCCTAATACTCATGACAATACATATTTTACAAGGAGCAACATGAGCCATGATTGAGGGGCACAAAGAAATTGCATCCTGTTTTGGTAATGGTCAATATCTGGTGGCATAATTTCTGGGTATTCATGCATTGTCCACATGAGAAAAAGCACCCACCCTGCCTCAGAGACCCTCTGGTCCAGGAGGGCCTCTGCATTCTCATACCACAAAGGTAACATTTGCAGTTTTGTCTTTCAGCTAAACATGAAAAGTTCTCAATGTCTATTCTCAAATATTTTTCTTTTCAAACAGGTAGAAAAGGCTAGTGGCTACATCTTCGCAACAAAAATGAGCTTAGCAGCATAGACAGTCAGTCTTTCTCTTTTTAAAAAGGCTGTTAGCTAAACTATTCATAGACCATGATTTTTCTCTAGACACTGAATACTTTCATTGATAATATCACTTGGCAGAAAGATGGTAAAATGTTCTTTACTGGACATTTGAAACCAACTTTTCCTACACTTTAGAGAGCAGAAAAAGGAGAAATTACTTTCCTTCTCTTTTTGTGTTCAACTTTGGCCAGCATTCAGAAGGCTCTTTTGTGAGAGAGCATCTGGGAATTTTAGAGTGCTGACTTATACTCCCTGAGAGAAAGTGGGACAAGCTGTATCATTGGTAGAACATGAGGTTGGCATTCCGAAAAGGTGGTGTGAGTGAGACTCTGTGGCCTGGAGAAAGTTACATGATTTCTTTGATCCTCAGTTTTCCTCATCTATAAAATGGACACAATAGCAATACCTGAAAGACAGCATTGCTATTATGACTTTGGGGGTACCATGCTTTTCTCCAAGAAGAAAGACCTGTCCAGGGTTGCTTCTGGTACTAAAAGTTCAGATGAAGCCTCAGATGAGGGGACTATGAAATTGCTGTAAGAGACCCGACCTAAATTGATCTTCCTTTGAGTTGGGGATTATAGGAGACCACAAGCCCTGGCTGGCCACTAACAAGTTAATAGGAAGCTTATTTTACATTTTGGAACCTCTTCTATATCATGTGGATAATTCCAGGTACTTGGAAGAGTTGTTGGGATAATCAAATCAGATGATTCAGATACAGTACCTGGCACACGTAGTAGGAGCGCAATAGGTAGTAACAATGGCTAACATTCAGTAAGGGTGCATCATGCGCCTGGTCTTGTGCCAAATATATTAATACATTGTCTCCCTGCATCCCATAAAGACTCTGTGAGCAAAGCACCACTTTTATATCCATTTTACCAGTAAAGAAACTGAGGCAGAGAAGTACAGCAAATAAGTTCTAAAGTCGGGGCTTGAATTTGAACAGGCTGGCTCCAGAGTTCACACTCTTACCCACTCTGCTAAACTGCTCTTAAAACATTAGATGTTACTGATATGAAATACCCTTCCGATGGACAGTGCTATCTGACCATGCCCAGGAGTACATGCCCAGGCATTTGGACAGAGATGGACTCCCAGAGACAGGTCGGAACCAGTTCATTCTGCATCTTTCACCTTCTCATTCCCCTCTTCCAGCCCCCACATGTGCAGGAAGGAATACTCTTGCTATGTCTTCTTTCTTTCTCCTTGGGGCAAAGGATGAAGGTGGGACATTAGGAAGATACCAGAATACGAGAAATGGCTATACAACAAAGAAATGTAAGCACGAGACTCCTCACTTAAGAATCTGGGCTACATTGAAAAATGGATTAGACTTTTCAATGACATCTTCCCTATTTTTCTTGCCCATGGATCCCATTGTTAACTTGGAAAGCACTGGAAGGTTTAATCAGATGATGGGTGGTAAGAATTCTTACATATGGATTGCCAGCTAGTTAACATTTCAGTAAAAAAGTAATTTGATTTGTGTGTAGTTTAGCTACTTAATTACCTTCTCAAAGGTGAAATGCTACATCATTGTTAGCAAAAAGACTGAGAATCCATTTCTATTTCCTATTATTAGCAGATTAATCATTTCCCTTGAAAAGGCACAGAAAATTGGGAAGGAAACAAAAGAGAAACAAAACATTAAGAAATCTTCCCATCATTCATAATTAAATTGGATTTCTTTCTTTGAGAAGAAAAGTAAAATACACAATTGAAAGAATGCAGATATAATACATGAATCAGGATTCTATAAAATATCATGTATAATTACTATATTATGAGCTTTGCTTTATCGTGCTTTTAGTCAGGTCTTTAGTGTGAACATCACATATTATATTTTTACATTTATTTTCTTGGAGAGAGCATTCTGATGTTTAATCATGGTTTAACTTGTCTCCTAAACAAATTCCTTTTCTCTGTTTGAAGGCTTTGAACTACTCAATGTGAAGGTTTATATTTTGATTCAACATCCAACTCAGTTAGCTCAGAATAGTTATCCCCATTGTTAGACACCATGAAATAGTTTTGATGTGCTATGTTTCCAGCTGACCCTTTAATTCTCTTTTAATACAAAACTTAAGCAGACATCATGTCTTAAAATCTTTTCTTTTAAAATATACTTTGGAAGTCTCATGTACACTTAGAAAAGATGGTTTCTATTGGCCCTCAGAAAACCTTTCTGTACATTCTTTTCTAAAGGTAGAATGGTCACATAACCATGACTGAGTTTGTGAAGGACTGGCTATTTTCTTTCTTGTCTTTCTGCATTACCAGTCATGTGTGTGTTTTTCAAAGGCTAAAAATTAAAAGACATCATATTCAAAACAGACATGAGGACACTCACATTGAACAAAGTATAATGATTACCCTCAAAGAATAAAGCAACTGCTAATTTTGAAAGTTAAATACATACAGTCAATAAAGCATCAAAATAATGGAAACAAAAGTCTGTAAATATTGCTTAAAAAAAATAAGTCCTTTCATTTAAGCAGAAGTCAATGTTTTTCACAAAGTCTTTACTACAAATGTTAGTCCTCAAACTACTCTGAATCATCTTACTATCGAATCAACTTCTCCAGGCAGGAAGATTTACAAGCACATACACAAAGGGTATATTAAATCCATTTCCAAAAAGCCTTGAAAAGTGCTGTTGCAATCTCCTCTTCAGCAGAGCAATCTAACAGAAGGTCAGCCACTCAGACCAGTAATTAACAAGATTAGGAAAAAGAGTCCACTAACTTTATAGGAAGAAATTACAAGAAAAGTTTTACAAAGCTTCCCATTGTCACCCTTTCTCGTTTCAAATGTATACCCTGTCTTTATCAGCACAAATATCCTCAACCCAAAGGTACAAAATGCCTATGTTCATTTTGTCCTTTCCCTCCACACCTCCCTGGGTGTTGATCTTTGGTTTTCCTCTAGGTCCCCAGATCCAACATTGAGAAGTTGAACAAGAGAAAAGTTAGCTGAAATCATTTTACCTGAGCACTGGCTCTGGGTTCTGGCAAAAGCAATCCCCGGAGCAGCTCCTGTTGCTTTCATTTTGCTGCAGCTAGGGCTGGTCATTCCGTTAATAATGCTCTTATGACCGCCCACTGGAAAAAAAGTCACTTGTTCAGCTCTTCCCCCAAGAGACGTTTCAAGTAAGCAATGAACTTGGGCAGATTAGCCCCTTGGAATGTGCTGCTTCGGGATTAGCCTCACTAAGAGTCCCATGGACATTCCCTCCCAGCCCTCAAACACTGCTTGATTTGAACATCTAATCTGACGCCAGAAGAAAAACAAATCCCCGGAGAGATCGGATTTAACTGGCACAGGTCCTAACAGGCTCCCCCCTCCCTTTTTCATTTTCCATTTTCAGAGAGAAAGCTTATGAAAGTGTGATAAGGTGTTCTGAGTTCTGAAAGTTCAACTTTGGAAAGCAAA